TTCTTTAATCAGGGCATTAACAACCTGATTGTAAGATGGAAAAGCATCATCGAAAGAATGGAGACTTTTTCATTTAATAAATGTTTTGTTCTGATATATATAAGTTGTTCTGGTTTTTTCATCTAAAAAACACGGCAGTAATTTCTTGATGACCTAATAATATGTGTTGCTACCTGTACTGTAACACAGTTTAAAGCTGATTTCACTGTGATGAATTTTACTACCTATGCTGCATAAAAATTAAGGATAGCTTGAACCAAGGACAAGTCCAGTCCAGTAAAACTGTGTCTGTTCCAATTGACAGTGTATCATCATCCATTGAAAATAGCAGAGCAGAACCATGTGAAAATGAAGTCCAGTTGCACAATTATGTGTCACAGGCTTAAGTTTTAGGCTTAATATGTAACTAACCAGCTCACTCCATTTACACTATTGATACTGTTAGCTGATGTCCTGCAACTGAGACACCAGACGACAATCTCAAGTAGGCAACTATCTACCAGAGTCATTATACTTTGCAGAAAGATAACAGAAAATTGTCAGTTTCTCTTTTAGTACAAGCTTCATTCCCATGAAGAAGATATCAACTACCTTGGATGATATTGTTATGGTTCTTTTTGCATAGTTAGTCTACAGTGGTGATTACCCCTATATACATAATAATAGTCAGCAAAATAAAATTAGAATAATTCAAATGAAAATGAGCTCATTATATTTTATTTGTTAAAAGTAATTTAATTTTAAAATTTTACAGTTTGTAGCCATTTGTAATTTAATTTTTGTCCTTGATTGACTACAGAAAGCAAATATGAGTTTGTGGGCTAGATTAATTTATATTCTAAGAACTGATTGTAGGCTAGATAAAACCACCATGTTCGTCGCATTTGGCTCACGGGCTCTACGTTGCATATGCCTAGTTTAGATACGAGATCTGGGATATAATAATTTGTACAGAATATAAGCCTCCCTATGCTAATGTTAACTTTGTGAAATGGTGATTGTGTTAACCAATACAGTTGTTCTTAGTTTCAGAGTGGATGTAAAGTACACATTTTATGAAACAAGTGGTTATGATCATTATCATCATTTTATCCAAAAGTTATTAGGGTTAGAATTTACTAAATTCTGACGCACAGTCCTGTGATTATGAATAAGTTCTGGAGAATCATCAGTTCCAGTTGTACTTGACTCTTATCAGTACAGTAGTAACTAAATCACTACAGAACAGTTGAAACTAATGTCGATGAAATAGACAGTATAAGCCAAGAATGTAACAACATGTCGTCATTACCTACTGCATGCAAGTTTTCCCACCATAAGCATATTAGAAGTACTGATTTAATAGATTAAATGTTGCCTGACCAGAAGACATAGAGAGAGATTGAACTTGATCATTTGTTTGCTTATGCTATTTATGCAAGAAACTCCTTTTTCCACATTCTTTCAAATCACTATTTAGAGTCTTCTTTCATTATACCCAATATCAAAACTTCCCAGCCACTAGTAGCTACTGGGAAACTTTCTTAATGTTAAAAGAGTATCTATGTCCAGTAGTAGATCACTGTTCTAATCAGGTAAGCTGTAATGTATGTATAGTATCTAGTGGCTGAAATAATATTTGCAATAAAGGAATAATCAATCTTATTATAATCATATCACAGCCAATGTTTTACACTGTGGTATTCAGGTCAAATAATGCTTAACAGAAAAGCCAAAAGCTTCCAAAAAGTTCAGGATTGTGAAACATAAGTACGGGAAGCAAAAAGAGAAAAATAACTTGAACACAGACAGTAAGAAACAAACATTATAGACATTAATCTGTTATTCAGAATAATGTCTATAATGCTAACTAATTGCTGGCTGGCTTCTAGGCTGTGTGACTACTTTTTGGCTTCTGTGGTTGTGTGCAGAAATACTAGAGCTGAAAATCAAGAAAGATGAGTGACTTGTGGGAGACAAAGGATAGATCTGAAATACTATTTTTACACTGCACTCTTTCAGTCAAATTTATATAGCAAATTTAGGCCTAAGAGAGAAAAGAGCCAGAAATATGGTAATACCCAGTTGTATATTCAGGCAAAGTCTTAGTAAGGTATCCCATACATCCACAGGTTACATACTTAACCTGATAGTTTACATACAATGCTAAGATATCCCAAGCCAGTTGTAAAGTTTTCTGTATTACATGTTTGAATAGACCTCATTCCTAGAAGTCCACGCAGAAATGTATAGAAGACAGCTTGAGATCTAAGATCAAAGGTTGCAGTGTGTGACTTTTACATGTATAAAAGGATTGGCACATGTTTATGACCCTGAGACATTTAGTAGCATGGATTGGATTAACTAAATGAATGGAAAATTATTTTAAAAAATGAATACACCTGAATAAAGATATAATATAAACTATTATGGATGGGGTGAAATTAGTAACTGTTCTAGCTGTGCCAACATATTCACAACTGCTGATAAATCTGACACATTGTAATTTACATCATAGATCAGTTTTGAAGCACTTCTGAACTAAGCCTTTCAAAAGTATTTTGTGTTGTGACAAATAATGCAATGAATACTAAATGATCATGATTGAGTATCCACATATCTAGTGCTTTAAGTATGTGCATCTGTGTACTTGGTAATGTAGAGAACTTGTAAACTTTCTCATCACATTTGTATAAAGATAAAGAAAGGATTAAATTTTAAAAACCAGATAGTGTGTGCTAATCAGAACAGACCCGTGCATCAACTGATCATTTCTGTGGCTGGTAAGTAGGTCAATCCCAGAAGAAACCCTGGCCAATTACTCACCTAAATGTTGAAGGTGGGATTATTGAAACTAATAAAAAGGACATAGAAAAAGATGAGAAATACAACAGTAAGAAATTGGTCAACAAGGAACAAATGGCAATAGAAAATAAAATTTAATAGTAAGAGGGCAAAACTTTGAGGATATGATTTGACTGGCTCCAAGATGCTTTTAAAACATATTCGGTTTTTTGTACATAATTTGTAGCTTACAGCCTTATTAGACAGCCAGCAAAATTACCTGGCAATGCCAAGCTTAAAGTATCAAACCACCCATTTTCACTGTTTTGAGCTGTAGCACATGAAATGTTCAACCAGTGCAAAGCTATTTGTGCTACATGTGGCATTAAATATTATTTTTGTTTGGCAGAAGTTTCACATATTTGGCTACCAGCTTCCTCTAAATTTCTAAGTAATAAATTTAGTTTTGAGAATACTTTAGCAAAAATGTACTAAAACTACTTCACAAACTTTGAATAAAATTTGAATAATGTTAATGTTTTTAATATATGCAGTTATTCCTCTAACAATACTAATTGATGTTTGATCATGCATGACAATTATTTGACTGATCAACTGACTAGTTTTCTCTTGTCAGGTCAGCTACCCAATTTGTCTACTGGTCTTTTAAAGATATTATGTAATAATGAATGTTTCTGATTTTTTAAGACTCGTAATGTAGGTAAATTAATATGTTTAATTATACATTGTTGGCAAATGAAGACTCTGGTAAGAGGGCCGAAAGTTCGCAAATATAAGAAAGGTATTTTAACATAGAGAACGGTCTGTATATAATTCTACAATGAATACTTCTCTTTTAACACACTAAAATCAGTAGAAAAGCACTGTTTAAATTTTACATCTGGTATTTAAATATCTTTGAACTTTATTTTATATAGTGAGATTTAATGTATGTCTAAAGTGGAATGGAAACTAATGTTCTGCTTATCAAATAAATGTTGATTACTGAAATAAAAACCAAAACCAAAGTATTATATTCAAAACTGAATTCTGCCTCATTATTTTTTTTTCTTGTTTTACAGTATCCTGATTTGGCCAAGGCAACCTCTGATGCAGAATCTCCCCTGCCTGGACATCTTTATGGAGTGTTGAATGGTAATCTGTGACTTCTGTTATTATTATTATTTAGAAAAGCTTTGGTTGATTCCTACTTCTGCCAAGTTTCCGGAATGAGTTATTAACTTTGTTGCATTTCTAAGTACTTAAATGCAACAACTAATAGCCTCTTCCGTTGACCGTATAGAATGTTATACTATATTGTAGTGTTTTTTGTTTTTTTTCTACCAAATTGCCATTGGAGTCTTTTATAAGTACTTTCTAGTGGCTCTGTGGCAAGTTTTATGTTTTGTTATACAACAATTTGGGGTTTGATCCTTGTTAAAGACACAGAGCAGATTGTCTATTGTGCAGCTCTGCACTGAAAACAAGACAAAAGTAAACAAACAAGGTTTTCTCTCTAGAAGCATTGTATATATGGAGAACATCACATCCCCTGTAAGTATGAGGGTCTCTCTTCAGTTTGAGTTGAGGGTTTGGTTTGCTCCTGAGGTTCCAGCATCTTAGATTAGTAAAAATAAAACGTTTACATACTTTAAGTGGGAAAAGTAAATACTTAATTGATTTAACTCTTATTAAAATTAATCTCTTCTAAGTGGAAATCCAAAGGCATAAAGCAAAGAAAACATAAAACAAATATCTGCTTATTAAGTCAAATTGGGATTTAGCATAAAGTTATCTGAAATGTGTTATAATTATTTTGCATCTTAAAAAAGGCTAAAGGCAAGCTATAAATGTTTAAAATCAATTAGACAATAGTAATGAGTGCAGTATTGAGTATGTCATAGGGTAATTTTAAAATTAATTCAAGTGCCTTTGTTTTTGCCCTAAAGAATTTCTCTAAGTCCTTCAATTTTTACCATTCAAAAAATCTGGTGTTTTACTAATGCTCATTAATTGGAAAATAATTTATGCATCTTGTAGCTTATTAACCCTACGTTTACAGTTACCCCTGTATTGAGCATGTTACAAGATTTTACTTTGTTACACTCCAAACCTAATTAAGCAATCTTACTATCAATGTATACCAATGAAATTAGCATTCAAATGTACATTATAGTTCAAAGTTTTATATCATATAAGGGTTGTAGCTGCCACTGCATTGAAGCCAGAGTGGTCATGAGTCGTGTTGTTGATGTGTGCCTCCAGAGCAGCCTGGCTTGTTTTGCTTCATTTTTATTTACTTGTATAAAGATCAAGCTCTCCTCTATAAGAGAGACTGCCTTTAGTTTTAGTGATAGACTTTGAATATTGTGGAGTGTAAATTTCAGAGATTTCAATTAGTGTTAATGCTCATTTCAAGACTTGTATGGTGTCTTATTTCAGATTTGAAGGGTTTCATTTTAACTATTAGTTATAACATTTTGTTCTGATTACTTTCATTTCAGGGGGCTCACATTGAGAAGGGGGAAAAACAGTTTTTTTTCCTCTCTTTATCTATCCAGTTCCACACACACAACACTAGAAACACTTGCCTGTGTTGTGTTTTTAACATTGTGTTGACAGTAAATATTGTGAATTGTGTATTTTTGTGTACTCTCCCTTTCTTTGTGTCATATTGGTCAGAGGAAAGAAAAGACAATCTCATACTCAGTGGTATAGTGTTCATCAGATCTGTTTTTGCAGACCCTGTCCATTTACTCTGATTGAAATCAGTGTGTTTGAGAATACCACATGTACAAGACTACAAAATATGAAAAATAAAGAAAAAAAAGACCATGGTCATAACTGGAAGCACATGGCTGGCAGTGTTTCTTTACCTTCTAGTTATTGATGATGTCAGCTTTTATGTATGATTCGGATTCTTTATAGTAGGTGACTGTGACTTGTTGGCAATACATTTCAACAATAAACAGACAGCTCACAATCCACTTGTTTTTAAATAACATTAAAACAAATCAAATGTATATACCAATGTTCGTTACACTGTTGCTTACCACAGTTGTATCCAGAGCTTTAAATAATTCTCTCTTTTTTTTTTTTCAAACTCCACACAGGTTGGTTCAGTTAGTTAAGAACACAAGTTGATAAGACAGATTATTTTTTTATACACTGTTATTACAATACAGTCTGTTACAATTTCACTCTTAAAATCACCACTATAACTGTTGGTTACCAGAGTTGTATCCAGAGCTTTAAATAATTTTCTTCTTCATCAAAGTTCACACAGGCTGGTTCAGTTACTTTAGAACACAATTGACAAGATGGATTATTCTTCTCTATGCTGTTATTACAATACAACCTGTGATAATTTCACTTTAAAATCACCACTATATGCTTTTTATGGCTAAATTCACAATCATGCAGTCTAGATCTATCTATCTATCTATGTAACTATGTTAACTTTAACTACATTTTGGACATGTACCTATAGACTGACTGAGGCATAGAATGTTCCACATACACTACGAGATATTATGATGCAATAATACTCAATTAAAACAATGAAAAATACTTAGAAGGTTCTAGTAGCATGACACATTAATACAATGAGCACCAATTCACAACAGTTGAACTTCAAAATGTGTGATTTGCACAGTTTTGCAAACAAACCTGCAGTAAACTATTGCTTGTAAAAATAACTAAATCAACACTATAATCTTGCTCTCAGAAATTTTTATTAATACAGCAAGTTACAGATGTTGAAAATAATAGATTAACAAAACCCAATATGAAGAAGTTTTGTCAAGCCCAATAACCATGTTAAGTGTGTTGACTTCTGTCTAGATCTGATTATTGTTTACCACTAAGTTCCATGAGTGTTTTTGTAACTTAACACAAAGATATTAATACTATCTTTATTGAGGATTCTCTATTATCTATTATATCTTCTGATAGTTGTTAACATTGAGTTGGTAATGTTAGATTTAAAATCACAGTGTTTTACCTTAGTTAATATATTACTTAATTGCCATGTTATGATGTATGGTCTGCAATACATCGTAATGATGCCATTTCAATCCTTATTTCTTTATAGTCTGGTAATGTTCTGACCTTGGACTTCAAGGTAAAACACTGAGTAATTGTGAAAGTGTGTGAATATTTAAACAATGATTATTGATATTGTTTAGGAAGATAATAGTGCTTTGGAACAAAGTAATAGAAATTCCAGTTTAAGCATATGAGTTATAAAAATTTTAAGTCATATGAAGTATATGTTTCTCAGATTTTATCTTTAATACGAGTTTTGTATTTTCTCATCCCGAACCGCATGTAAAGCAATGGTAACTTGTAAGTTCACTCATAATCACTGATGGCCAGGCTGGTTTTCAGTTTTGCTTTAAGTATATAAGTTACTCTGATTGGAAGTTATTATTTATTAGTAAAAGATTTTTAGTACTCTAAACAATGTGATTAAGGGAAATTTGTTATTCTAAATAATAAAGACTTGGGTTTGAGCACATGCCAGTTGTTAGCATGCTGGGTCAGATATGAGGTTCTATGGTTCGTGCCCCATTAATGACAAAGAAAAAAAGTCATGTTCAGCACTTTGGCACCATGGGTGCATTATAAGAGTGACAGTTAAATACCACTATTCAATGAGAGTAGCCAAATGTGTGAGAAGGTTTTCAAATGTAGCTCATATATAACACGCTGAACAAAGAAATCTACAGACTGGCCTTCTACTGTAAAAACAACCTCGGAAAGATGTTGTGCAACAACAAAGACAGGATAAAAAAGTATGGTAACAGTGGTGTTTACCAATTAACGTGTCAAGACTGCAATAGTGTATATATATCGGTAAAAAATAGGATGTTTCCTAGAAACGAGAATTAAAGAACACTCTAGTAACTGGATATTAAGGAAAATGGATTCATTCTTTGCATCCCACTTTTTTGAAACCAAACACCAAACTGATCCAGAAAAAAACTAAAATTTTACATATCTGTGAAAATGGCGAAAAAAACTAGACAGTCTGGAAATTTTAGAAATAAACAGAAGTTTTAAAACAAATCCAGAAAAAGTTATAAACGACCAAATCAACTTAAGCTCCTTCCCACTTCTCTAGGTGAATGTCAAGGTCACTTCCAGTTCTTTATATATATAACTCCTGCTACAACACATATCAGTCTACTGGTGAAACCATGGTCATAATAAATGATGTACTTGGGAAATGTACAGTTGTCTTGTTTTTCCTCAGTTCTGTAATTATGGAGTTTCACCAAGTACAAATGGTTTCAAGTATCAATTATATACCAAGACATATTTTATTCCCAAGTTTATTGCTTTCAGGATTAACAAAAATATAACTTAGGAAGACTGGATATTGTGTTTTGTGTTCAAAAATTTGGGCTTTCAAATGATGAAAAAATAGAAATTGTTCAGGTAGAAAATGTTTGAGGGTTAAACAGATCTGTTTGTTTGTTTGAGATAAGCACAAATAAACAGATCTGATTGAAAAATCTTATTTCCCATACTTTCATAAGCTTATTTGTAGTAACTTAACCAAATATTTAATTGACAAAAGATTTGTGAATGAAAAGATTTGTCATTATGTTGTGAAATACATAATACATAAAATATGTCTGATATTCATTTATTGTTTAATAACATATACAGATTTTTTTAGATATTAGTTTAGAAGATGATGGTGCTAACTGTCCAATACTTCTAGAGTTCCTTCTCTTCAGATTGCAGCATGGATCTGTGTATGCTAAACTCAAGGTATGTTTCTGTACAACTGTGTGAACAGTAAGTTATGGGTGATGTTGCAGTGTGGATCTGTGTATGCTAAACTCAAGGTATGTTTCTGTACAACTGTGTGAACAGTAAATTATGGGTGATGTTGCAGTGTGGATCTGTGTTGCTAAACTCAAGGTATGTTTCTGTACAACTGTGTGAACAGTAAATTATGGGTGATGTTGCAGCGTGGATCTGTGTATGCTAAACTCAAGGTATGTTTCTGTACAACTGTGTGAACAGTAAATTGTGGGTGATGTTGCAGTGTGGATCTGTGTTGCTAAACTCAAGGTATGTTTCTGTACAACTGTGTGAACAGTAAATTACGGGTAATGTTGTAGTGGGAATCTGTGTATACTAAACTCAAGG